TAATTCTAATTCCCTGGCAGTGGGCTAAGAATTCACAGTGACAGAGGTACCCCATAGACCCTGGGTCTGTTCTGTAGCACCAGGACTCCTGAAAATCTCCTTTACTTTCACAGAACTCAGTGAGGTGCTAAAATCACTTCATGATGATTCACAATAGCTGATTAATAACCACCTAGGGATTTTGCAAAGCAGTTGTTAGTTGCCAGCAGCTTTACATCAGCAAAAGCAGTAGAGTGTACACCACAAAAATGAACCAGCAAATGTGACAGACCAGTGCTGTCCTTACATAGTCCCTCCAGAGCCAGTTTACTAGTACCTTCCCACTGTGCTGGAGTGGAAGGGATCCCTGCTATAATTTTCTTTTTGTTTACACAACCAAGGCACACACTTCATGTATCTTCAGGGGAGTTGTGGGAGGGGAGATATTGTAGTATACTGTAAAGGTATGGAGCTAACCCTCATAGTTCATTCTGCAGCCAACTGTACCCTCAGTGAAGTCTCAGCCTTTAAGTGGACATTGTAGGAAGTGGCACAGCCTTGGTTGGTTCAAGGACCTGTAAAGAATGCTAAAAGGGATGAACGAGGTTTGTCAAAGTCCCTGGGAGGGTCCCCAGGAGTGAGCAGAGGGCTGATACTTGTCTACCTAATAACAAATTAGGACAAGGATGAACCACTAAACAGAGCTAGGATAAGTTAACTAAGATACATTCTTAAGATAGCAGAAAACATGACTAAATTGGTTAAACTTTTAATGGAAAATGATCTCATACAACAAAATGTCCATGGGCAGAGTGGTTCCAGGCATCATTAATTTTGAAGGTCAATGATGTCGTAAAGTAACACACTCCGTATTTCTGGGGTTCTGGTCTCACTGGATAGGCTCCTTCTACGCCTGGATCTTCTTGTGGTACCAAAGTTGTAGCCACAGTTCTAGGCACCATATCCAAACACAGCAATTTTCAGTGGAAAACAAGGGCCTAACCCTTGCTGTGTGTATCCTATCCTGAGCAAGGCAGCTTTCATTCAAAATACTAGGTATGAGACTGCATTTCCACTTAGCTCTTTCTGAACCTGCACACTATGACACTGGATATGTAAAACAGTGTTCCAAATTACGCTGGGTTCTGGCATTCAAGGGATGAGAAGTCACACATGATCTCTGCCCTCAAGGAGCTCCTTGTCTGATAGGAGACATTCAATAAAACAATCACTTACAAGGAACTTTGACAAGTGCTTTCTACTAGACAGAAGGAAATCATATGGATTTGTCTGCCCATAGCAGGACATAAACCAATTCCAGAGGCACAGAGAGCCTGCTGGTGAAAAAGAAGTGTAACCTGAGAGTCGAAGGTAAGTAGTGATCAGCCAGATGAAGATGGAGGAGAAGCATCCTTGACAGAATGAGTATGAGTTTGTGTACAACAGCATATATGAGGTTATGGAAATCAGAAAGAACTCGTACTATCTGATTAACAGAAAGAGGATCAGATTGGCAGGAACAGAGTGTGAGTTGCTGATTCAAGATACTGCCTGCACTATGGTGAGCCAAACTGAATATTTAATTTTTTATTTAATTAGTTAATCTTTTTTATTATCCTCATTGGAATAACACTCCTTCAATTATAAAGTCAGTATGGAGGAGATATTTGTGTAGGCACCAAATATATAAATTGTGTGTGTAAAGTGTTGGACAGCCTCTTGTACTGAGCTGTGACTAGTTAAAGGAATAGACCTTTGGCTCACTTTACTTTGTTATCACACAGTAAAAAATAGAATTATCTTCCTGCAGCATGCCATATCCCAGCATTTACAGAACTCAGTTATTTCCAGGCAAGATTCTGAAATATCTGACATCAATTGAAGTTTTCTTTCTTTCCTTCCTTCCTTCCTTCCTTCCTTCCTTCCTTTCTTTCTTCTCTTTCTTTCTTTACTTTAATAAGTTTTGAACAGATTTACTAGAATATACTTCATATATAATTGACTCATTTAATGTGAACAAGGCAAAGATATTTAGTATAGTTACAAAACTTTTCAACCATCACCACAAATTAAGAATCTTTAAGAACATTTTAACCACCACCCTAAAAACCCTATACTTTTTATTAGTTACTCTCTTTTTTTTTCTCTGAACCTTCTTCTCACCGTTCCTCCCAATCCTAGGCAACCACCAATCAATTTTCTGTCTGTATAAGTTTTCCAAATCTGAACATTTCACATAATAGGCATCACGCAATATGTTGTTTTTTACTACAGGCTTCTTTGGTTTTGGCAAATATTTTCAAGGCTCATACATGATGTACTTCATTTCTTTTTATTGCCAAATATCCTTCTATTGTATCAATATACCAAATTTATTATCCATTTGTCAGTTAATGGATATTTCTACTGTTTGTACATTTGGCAATTGTGTATAATGCTCCTATGAGCATCACACACAAGTTTGTGAGTAAACATAAGTTTTCATTTCTTTGGGGTATATACCTAGGAGTGGAATTGCTGAATTATATGGTAACCATATATTTAAATTTTGAGAAGCTGCCAGACTGTTTTCCAAAGTTGCTGTACCACACTATATTCCAACCAGTGTTATACGAGGGTTCCAAATTCTGCACACTTGTTACAATCTGTCTTTTTAATTATACCCATAATGAAGGGTGTGATGTGATTCTCCGGATACTGATTTGCATTTCTCTGAAGTTCATAATTTTGACTATTTTTCATGAGTTCTTTGGCCATTTGTATATCTTCTTTGGAGAAATATATATTCAGACCCTTGTATTTTCTGGTTGTTTTTTCCATTTTATTCAGTTTATTGGGGTGACACTGGTTAACAAAATTATACACATTTCAAGTGCATAGTTCCACATCATCATCTGTACACCATATTGTGTGTTCACAACATCAAGTTAAGTCTTCTTCCACCACCATTTATCCCCCACATACCCTCCTCCACCTCCTCCTGCCAATCCCCACAATGTTGTCTGTGTCCATGATTTTTTACATCTATTTTCTCTACTTTTCTCAATTCCTCCACCTTCCCGAACTAGCCCCCCAGTTCATGCCGCAAACAGCAGTCACCGTGCTCTCTGTCTATGAGTCTGTCTCTATTTTGTTTATTAATTCATTTCATTTATTGTGAAATCATATGGCACTTGTTTCTCTCTGACTGGCTATTCACTTACCAAAAAGCTCTCCAGATTCATCCATGCTGTCACAAAGGGTAACATTTCCTTCTTTGTTGTGGCCAAATGGTATTCCATTGTGTATAAATGTAACACAACTTTTTTTATCCTACGTGTTCTGATCCCTATTAGCTCTCTGACCTCACCTTTCCCTCTCCTTCCATCACGCTGTGCCAGCCACACTGGCCTCTGCACTGTTGCTCATACAGGAGCTGAGTTCCACTCCCATACTTCTCCACTACCTTTTACCTCTGTCTAGGATGCTCTTCCCCCCAGATATTGACCTCCTCTAGGTTTTAGCTCAAATGTCACAATCTTAGAGAAACTTTCCTTGACCTCTCTCTCTAGAAATGCTCCCCTCAGATTGAATTGCAAATGCAGCAATTAAGAACACCTGACAAATTGCTTACATTTCTGTGTGTGACACACAATTCCAATAGAATATACAGCTCCATGAGGGCAAGGTTTCTGTGCCTTTCCACATGGCTGGATTCCTAACTCGCGTTATAGTGCCTCACATGATATGGACAGAGTGAACACGAAGATGGAAAAAAAAAGTGACATGGAATAAGCATTGATAAGAGAGTCACAATAAAATCCGAGGCTGTTGGGGAAGCGGGGCCTGTGCACATGCTGGGCCTCAGGTCAGAGCGGCTAGTAAGTTGCTAAACTTGTGCTAAACTCTGCTCAAGGCCGAGCCATAAGCATCCTGGAACAGGACCAGCCCTACTGACACACATGGACTTTACCTCCTTCTTGTAGTTTTTGCCTTCCTCATTTGCATATTGGAACCAACCAATCCTCGCTAACCTAGCCAGCTACCCTTCCTTTCCACTAAAGAATTACACTTTGTGGGTTTTGCCCTTACAAACCCTGCCTTTCTTTGTCCTTTTCGGAGCGTAGTTTGGGTTGCTACCTGGACCTGCATCTCCCGTGTGGCAAATCCTTTTGCTCAAATAAGTGTTTTTTCTTCTTTATCAAGCCTGAACCTCTTCTTGGATTGAGAGAATGACTCTCAAATGCAAAGCTGGAGCAAGAGGCAGGGCCAGACAGGCCGAGGATTCCGCTAGCGAACGTGATCAGGGGTGACAAGATTGTGACAAAGCCTGTGGTCCTTATCTCACAGACTCAGTGTCCTTGGGGCCCCTGGGAGATGGCCCCTTCCCTAACAAGCCCAAAGATCCTGCTTTTCCTCTCACCTATTACGGACAGTTAAGGACTGAGGCCTGCCCCACACCAGGCCTCTGACCTCAGCCTGGAGCTCTAGCCCTCCTGCCCCTTGGGGAACTTTGGCTGCGTCCCCGCCCTCCCCCCCACCTCAGACCTGTTCTGGATTAAGCAGGGAGGCACAAGCCAGCACAGTGCCCTGCACGTAGGAAACGCTTGTAAAGCACCCGGTTACCATATTGGCGCTGCAGGGAGGTAAATTTCAGTTTAGGAAGACTCTTGAGCCTTCAGTGAACTGTGGGGTTTTCCTCCTGACTTTGCCCTCCCACCTTTCGCGGACCAGCCTAGAATGGTCAAGGGTTTCTGCATCCACAAGCTGTTTCAGGTTCCCACCACGAAGGGGCGCGCGAGAGGGAACAGTTGCTCCCTGGGAGCTACCACTGAGGGGCTCAGAGGTAGGACATTCCACTCCCGGGTCTGAGGCTGCGCATTTTCACTTCTCCGGCTTCACCCGTCCGTTTCTACTTGGTCACATCCCGCTGGGCGGGGCGCGGGCTGGGAGGTTGGTTTCCAGGTGTGGGGGGGCGGGGTCAGGGACCGTGCTGGGCGGTGATAGGCCACAGAGAGAGTGACGGGTTAAGCCCTTCCTGGGCGCCGAAAGGTTCCAGCTGGATCCCTAATCAGCGGGACCCCGAATCTGGGCCTCTTCCTTCGCCTGCCCGGTTCCGCATTGGCCGCCCTGCCTGGGGTGACACGTTGATGGCAGAGCTGGCCCTGAGGGTGAGGCGTGTGCTAGTGTGTGTGTGTGCGTGCGTGTGATGTGGCTTTCCAGGAGTGCAGAATTTTTGTCCGAGTTGGGCTACTCACCCACGGACTGTCCGGACTGGGCTGACGAAGCCGCCCCAGTCCCTGACGAGGTTCGGCGCAACGGCTGGCTTTTGCCGGAGTCCGACGCCCGGTGCGCGGGTGTCGGTGCTGTCTCCACGTGAGCTCCTTCAGTGTGGGTTAGCCTTAACTCTGTCACCACCAGCCTGGCCAGGCGCGTTTGACAACGCACCGTCAGTCCTGCGGGTGCTTGCGGTTAAGGTCCAGGGAGAGGTCTCAGAGCGGGTTTGGTGTCTGTGCCCAGGAAGTAAAGTGTGTCCGGCCCTTTGGCGACGTGCATGTCGACGGGTGTGACATCACAGGTGCTGTTTGGGTACCTGTGATCTCTCCGAACGTTTTGGGGGATTGTGAGTGAACGGGATCTTGTATCTGAGGCAATTTTGTGCACCCTGGTCTAAGCGTCTCTATGGCTTCAGCTGGGTGTGCATTTTCTGAGCTTTTGGGCATTGGTGTCCCTGGGCGTGGTCTCTCTGCAGGTGTCTGCACCCAGGGTATGAGGTCTCTGGGCAGTTGGTGTTTCTAGGTCCCAAGTTGTTACGTCTCTGAAGTGCTTGGGGGTGCGGGGGGTTTTATCCTAAGGTGTACTTACTTGTACCTGAGCTGTTTGGGCAGTCTGTGTCCAGGGTGTAGGTTCTCTGATTTGTCTGGGGACATTATCTTAAGGGTCTGTGGTGTTTCTGAGTTATTTGAACTTCTGCCTTTCTGTTTGTGCAGTCTTCGTACTGAGTTGGGAGGTGTCTGCATGCCTCGGATGTCTGTGTCTGGGGTGTGAGGCGTGGGCAGTTTTGTTTCCAGGGATGAGGACTTTGGTCTGTTGGGGAGGGGGCTGTGTCACTGGGTATGGTCTCTGCTCTGTTTGGGAGTCTGTGACTCAAGCAGTGCGCTCTCTGTACAGAGAGTCTGTTTCAGGTTGTGTTCAGTGAGCTGTTTCTGGTGTCTTGGGGTATCTGAGTCTGTCTCCGGTGAGAGCTTTTATGTTTTTGGTTGTGAGGTCTCTGTGTGGGAAACGAGGGTTTTGGAATCTGGAGCCCCAAGTCTTGGCTGTGTGTCCTTGGGCAAGTCACTTGTCTCCTTGAGCCTCAATATGTATCATAATCAATAAAACAAAGCCAGTACCCATATGGAGAGCACTGTGCATGTCAGCAATGGGTGGAAAGGGCTTGGCTCCCAGTCAGTCTTCCCCAAGGACATTCTGAACACCTGCTGTACGCCTGAGCACTGCTGTAGGACTTTGGAGGTACAGGGAAGGAAAGCAAATTGACAAAGTCTCTGATTTCATGGAGTTGGTCAGTAAGTCTGAAACATATCTGAGAGTGGCAAGTGCTGTGGAGAAAAATAAGGCCAGCTCAGGGGAAAGAGTGTTTTACTCACTGTGGTCAGGGACGGTCTCCCTGAAAAGGCAATGGCTGAGCAGAGAACCTGGAGGCAGAGAGGAGCAGGCCGTGGACTCCCTGGGGGAAAGGGCTGGCCGGGCAGAAGGACCAGCAAGTGCAACGATGCTGATGGGAAATCCGCTTGGTGTGCTCCTGGGCATCGGGGAGCCCCGTGATGCTGGTGAAGCCCTCTTCAGTGGGTGTGGCACGTAGTGCTCAGGCGAGGTGTCTGGCGTTGCCATCTCTCTTTCTCTTCCGACCTGTGAGGGAGTTGGGTCACGCTCCTGTTCCAGACCAAGGACCTGAAACTCCAAGAAGTGGCTCGACCTTGCTCTCCTGCTCACACCCAAAATTGCTAAAAGAGGGGTGAAACATTCCACTCGTTCAGGAGAGGCAGAGGGTTGAGGGTCAGAGCTTCAGGAAGGACACCATGCACAATGAGTGTCAGCCACCCTGCCGATATAATTTAGGATAATACAGGAGTCAGGCCCTGTGGTGGCATTTCTACTCCTGATGGAGGAAAGCATGTTAGGGATGAGGGAGGACCCGGGGCAGAGGAGACAGGCAGGAGGGGAGGCTGGAGAACAGTGAGGAAAAGAGCTGGGGCGTCATAGGATTGCTGTGATTTGGCCCGATTGACCTTCATTGACTGGTTGTACTCAAATGTGTTCCCCTTTCCCCTTCCCTGCCCTTCATTTCACTTCCCTTCTTTTTTCTGCCAGAGCAGTTGTGTCCTAAAGCTGTCCTGTCTGGTGCAGCAGAGCAAGGAAAGCAACTTGCAGGGTCAGAGACCAGGCCCAGTGGACAGGGCATGTGGACAGAGGCACTGGCTGTGGTGGGGGGACAGAGCCCCAGGGGGTAAGCAGGATGTCCCTGGGGTTGGGTGGAGAAGGCTACCTGGCTGAGGGATGCAATGCTGAGTGGGTTGCGGAGGTCAAGGGCAGGGCATTCTTCAGCACAGCATGTGAGGACGGCCTCTGTGTGGGGAAGGGATGGATTATATGCATTGGGATTCATCGGCTCAGTAAATGCATAAGGATAGTGGGAGCCATGAGTGTCAGATTAGAAAGGGCGGCGTCAAATGTGGAAAAGAAGAAAACAAGAACAAACCTTGAGGTGTTAGACTGGAATTGGAGGCCTCCGTGTGAACGCATGGCTTTCAGTATGTGTACATGCGTACCCACGGGCAGGTTGATGGATGTAGATGTACATATTTATGTGTGTGATTGGGCACATGCATCTATTCCAGTACGTGGTTTCGGTTACAGCAACACTGCGATAGCAATAGCACAACCAGCCCCCGGATCCCGGCTTCTAGACGTGATTCTCCACCGAACGTTGGTTGCAGTGCTGCAGGAGGGAAAGGACCGATGAATCCGGCTCAATGTGTGCTGCCAGTAAAGGGTGAGTTCAAGGAATACTGGGGCGATGTCAGGGGGCACACTTGACAGAATGAGGACAAGTTTGTGTTTTGAGCTTTGAGATATTACTGACATGTAACATATGTAAGTTGAAGGTGTACAGCGAGATGATTTCATACACACACACACACACACACACACACACACACAGAGGGAAATGATGATGCAAAGGGTTTGATAGCACCTCCATCCCCTCACATAATGACCATTTGTGTGAGTGGTGAGAAGATTTAACCGATTTTCTGAACAACGCTCACTACACATCAGACTGTTGCTGACTGAGGTCACCAGGTGGTGCCTTGGATCCCCACGACTTACTCATCTGGCAGCTGGATGTTTGCACGCTTTGCCCAGCATTTTCCTCAGGCCCTGGAGCCACCATTGCAATCTCTGTTTCTGTGAGTTTGGATGTTTTGGCTTCCACATGTGAGAGAACCTACAGTATTTGTCTTTCTCTGTTGGACTTAGCACAGATCCTTCAAAGTCCATCCATAGTTGCAAAAAGCAGGGTTATCTTCTTTCTCATGGTTGGCCGATACCGTGTGTGTGTGTGTGTGTGTGTGTGTGTGTGTGTGCGCGCCCTGCCAGGGGACATTGATGCCCAGATGGTCCTGTACGGGTCCTGGGACTGGGGTCCTTCTCTGTGGGAACAAGCCTTCTCTGGGCTAGGGCACCAGAGTGAAGGGGCAGGCTAGGTCTCTAAGCTGGTGGAGAAAGCTGTGTGACTTGGGAGAGCAGGTGAGATCAGGTGAAGGACAGCTGAGAGGGGGAGAGATGACCTCCTTGGGTCAGGGGCAGGTGTCTGATAGGTGAAGGGAAGGCATGTGCCCTAAGTTCTGGTCGCCCTGGGCTTGCATACAATGGAGTTGGGTGCAAGAAAGGACCAAAGGCTGAGAGGAGGCGGTGATCATTGGAGGCATAACCTCACGTCCTGTGCCTCACACGGTCCCTGAGAAAAGCCTGTGGCATTATGGGGGTCTAAAATGTCATCTCCTGTCCCTACTTCCATCCACTGGTCACGAAGACAATGGACGTGAGAGAAACTGAAGCCTTCAGGGAACAAGACCAGTGGGGCCGTGAGGTCTCTGCACAGACCCGCTGCCCTGCCCTCTGTTTGACTCTCGTGCTGGGTTCCTCATGTCACGTTCTTGCGAGCTTTCAGGTTGCTCTTCTCAACCCTGTGTCTCTCCCAGAGAGGCCGTACATTAGAGGCAGGCTGGCCACCACAGCAGTTTACTAATGTTCCTGAGAGTTCCTAGCAGAGTAAAACATCAGTGTGTAGGGCACTGTTGTGGCCACGCCCAGATTCCTGGGTGTGGATCACAGAATGCGCGGTTCGTAAAAGATCGAGGGTTCTGACTGATGGGAACAGGTTCTCTGGGAACCCCCCGGAACAGGGTGTTGGTCTTATCTTCCCTGCTGCTGGGCCTCTCTCTCCATTGTGAGGGTATAGAAGTGACAGCGGTTTGGTGCCCTCTCTGATGCACAGACCCAAGGCCAGACTTTGCCGCCAGGACACTGCCGTGCTGCCTGCTCTTGTGAGGAGGCTCCCAGATTGTCATTTCCACAAAGTACCCTGATCCCAATCTCGTCAAGCTTCCAGCTGAAAGACCTCTGTTGAAATCAGATTTCTGTTTGCCAAGCCGTCCCATGCTGTAGAACCCACATGTGGTGCTTGTTTGCCATTCATCTGAACCTTGTGCGGTGGCTACTGGATCTTACCCTTGACTGAACAAACACAGGCCACAGTGAGTTTTCCACAATGCCTCCTGACCAGCAGCTCCAGCACTTAGTGCTGGGAAACACCGAGCAAATTACTTAGCGTCTCTGTGCCTGATGTCTCCATTATTGAAAGGGAAGCACTACTTAGGACATGTAGCCACTTCAGTAGGGCACTGACTGTGAGAAGACAGAGGGAAAGATGTCCAGATAGTGCTTGGCATATGGAGAGGTCCCAGCCCGTTCCAGCTGCTGTCGTTACTGTTAATATTGTCGCCATTCCCACACTTCCCTGGAGCATGGTCCCTAGAGACGGTGTCAGGAGGATCTTGGACTCAGTGGAGGGAGTTTGCGCTATCACCCCGGCTCCTCCGAGACTCAAGACCTGAGTGTCAGGGGCGTGGGCCAGGGCATGTTTCATTGGCATACGAGTGTGCAGCCCCCCTTGGAGGGTTGGTGTGAGGCCGGCCTGCAGTGCCTGGGCTGCACCGTCACGGGCTCCAATGGACGATGTCTCTGGGGAATGAGAACCCCAACGACCTGTTGGTGGGATTTGTGTAATGCTCGGAAAACTAAGGGGTCCCGGGATTCTGCTGCAACATGAGTATGTACATTGTTCTAAATCCTTTTTTCGTTTCCATTGAATTTATTGGGGTGACCTTGGTTACGATATTTTGTAGGTTCAAGACCGAAATGGCAAGGCCAGGGAACCTCATCATGTGGCTTCTTTCACTGCTGGTATTTCCATCAAGTCCAGTTCTCCCAGGTCAGACTGTGAAGATGCGCATCAGGTAAAGACACCAAACTGTTCACAGTCAAACTTTCACCAGCCGCACTTCACTTCTTGTGCGGCTTTCACATCGTGCTTTGTTGCGTTTATTTTGCCTACCTTTCGTGTTCCTTATTTATCCAACAGAAGACTGATGTATTACTATTACCTGAACTAAATGGTGGGGAGTGGGAAACAGTGGAGAGTCTGAAGAACGTGCCTCGGGAAGAAAGGGCGGGGTGGACACCAGGGGGGTGAAGGTGGGGGTGGGGCAGGGAGAGAGGAGTGAGGGGGGGCAAAGGGGGAGGGAGGGATACTGCGGGGGAGCGAACGGAAAGCACACGTGGAGGGGCGAGAGAACAGAAGCTCGCACTTGGAGGCTTGCCCTGGGCCTGGCGTTGTTTTCGGCTCTCGCGCTACACATAGAATTTTAGAAGTCAGTGAGTACTCACAGCAACACTGTCAAGTAAACACTTTAATGGTAGCCCTTTTTACAGATGAGGAAACTGAGACAGAGTTGAACAGGTGCAGCAACGTACGCGAAGTCACCTGGCTAGCAAGTCAGAGTCAGATTTGTGCCGAGACCAGACAGGACCCTAAAGAGAGGTGGGACCTGCCCCTGAACTCCGGAAGGCACTTAGTGACAGGTGCTTTTGCATCAACAGCCCATGAGCGGTGCGGCAGCACTCGTCAGATTACACTGGGTGTGGGCGTGGACTGACCGTGGTGTCTCCTAAGTGCATGACGTACCGTGGGTGATGAGTCAGTGTGCACACATCAGACAACGGTCTCTGAACCGTAGCAAGGCATCTGCACGTATTTGCTGCTGTCGATGTCAGCACCAGCAGTCTCGCTCGTCGTCATCGTTGTGGAGGGTAGCTTGCGGTATTAACTAAGCAAACAAAGCAACCGCTACGACATTATAAAGTCATTACACGCCCCTCCCAACCTCACAATTGTAAAAAATGCATAGAAAAAAGGCCTGGGAGGGAATAACCACGTACTAAGTCATTGTCTCCACGTGTGAAACTCTATAGATAGTTTTCAAATAACATTACTTACTGTTTTCATTTGCTGTGTCATCATTATTACATAGCCAGTGTTCCTATTACTGCTTTTAAAATGGATTTTCTGAAGTTTCATTGTCTTAGGTATCGCGATGCCAGAGGGTAAAACATTGTTTGGAGATCGTCATCAGGTGGAACAGCCATCAGTGCTCTGAAAGCAGGAGATGGAGCTGCAGTGCAGTAGAGAGGAGCTGTGGGGAAGCAGAGAGGTCCAGGTGGAAGGGCAGCGAAGTCCGCAGGTATTGAGACATTGCCTCCATCAGGGACGGGCCCCAAAGCAACCCGGGACACAGCCCACACGTCCCTGATAGAGACATTGTCTCTGGAGAGGAGTGTGTGCATCAGGGCTTCTCAGACCTGCCCTCTCCTCTGGCTCACGGGCTGCAGTGGGGCAGAGTGTGGTTCTCCTGAGGCAGCAATGCTCTGAGCTCAGCTGAGGGTGAGAGTCGCACCTTCACCGGCTGCAGGGCTCCTTTTGTGGGTGTTCGGGAGCACTTTTCAATTCCGGAAGCCTGCAGCTTCAAAAGGGAAACGAGAAAGAAAGTGCAGTCGTTAGGGCCACCCTCCCTGGGAAATCCTTGCCCAGAGAGCCAGATGCAGGTGCTGGGGTGATCAGTGGGGAATTGGCAGAGTGGGCCTGGGTGACTCAAAGAAGAAACCTGGAAGTGAGTGCAAAGGGGAGAAGACACGTTAAGAGGGAATAAACAGCTGGGGGTCCGTTTTCTGGCCTTGCTTTTCTAGCAGGAGGATCAAGTGGTCCATTGTGGTGGTGAGAGGGCGTCCTGGTCCAAGGTCTGGGAGGGCATCAGCGCACTTAGTGATGAGCGTGCCGATCTCCCACCGTCAGTGTGAGCAAGGGGGCCTCTGGGTGTGTGATGGCACGAAGGACTCATCCTTTAGCATCGACAGGCGCAGAAAGCTTCTAGCAGAACCACCCATACTCGCCAACCTTCTAGTCCAGGTCAGGGCGACTGTTACGGACAACTCTGATGCTTACTGTGTGTGTGCGTGCGTGCGTGTGTGTGTGTGTGTGTGTGTTTAACAAATATAGAGAAAGACAGTCTTTATTTATGTAACTACAGTGCACTAAGCTCTGTGTGTGGTCTAGGCACTGGGCTGGGTGCCTGGGTGTTACAATTAAAACAAGGACACATAAAAAGACACATTCCTTCCCTCATGGATTTTATGTGAAATCATGAGACAATAGTGAATCTAGTGATCAGTAATGAATACAGAAATTAGTGCTGCGGCGGGTGGTACCAAAGGGGCGCACTCCAGGGCTTGGGAGGAAATGACTTTAGCTCAATCTTTAGGGAAGTCTTCCTGGAGGAGGCATTGGTTGAGTTGCAGTATGAAGGATGCACAGGAGTTCCCCATCAAGAGCTTCAGGAAGAGGGGACAGTGTAAGTGGAGAAGCTTGGGAAATTGGAGGATGTGAGAGAAGCCAACAAGAGACACAAAATGTGGAAGCTCTCCTTTCCACATTGCCAGTGAGGCAGGCGGGGGGGTGGACATGCCTTGAAGTCCGTGTGTGGGATCGTGGGATCTTTTTGTCTTCTAGTTCGTAAGTTTTTCTTTAAACATCGTACCTTGTATTGATGGAACCTAATATTAAAGTTATTATAATTATATATACAATTATATATCTATTATATATAAAATGGCAATCAATTTAAAGCTTAAAAGTAGAATGGTTTGCTGGATGACAAGAATGATAAGACTCAAATAGGTATAACTAGTCTCTGCTACTGGGGGCACAACCCTGTCCTCTTAGCCTACAAGGGACAGGAATTATTCCATCGTAGGGCACACGGACGCCCCGGGTACCAGTTCATCATGGGCTCAGACCCACAGGTGTCCCCCTGGGGAGTCCCCGGGATAAAGCAGTGCCAAGTGCTTCTGTTCTCAGTAGAGTGTACTTTAGGACCAAATACTATGACTTCCCGATGGATCAGTCTAGAGTGGCACCAGAAAGACTGTCAGGAAAGAGAAATCAGGAAACATGGAGTTAGTGCGGCTTTACTCACAAGCACTAGGTGGTTGTGCTACTTGAAGAGCATTCCTGTAGAATAGTTTATTTGCTTAGATGTGAGCCTATTTGGGATGCATTTTTCCTTGAAAGGTCACTTGTTTACTTTTATTTTTCTAAATTTATTGTGACTTTTCTATTACCGTCTATCCCCCTTGTGGAATGCGGTCTTGATCTAAAAAGTAATGGCAGCCCTGCAGCTGGGAGAGGGGAGACAGGGGGGAAGGGAGGGGGCAGGGAGACAGGCACCCTGAGTAGATGACAGAGACCAGTTAGAAAGCGGGTTTGACCGTCAAAGGGACAGAGTCCTTGGACTACGGCAGATGCGCTAGACATAGGGAAAAGTGTGAGCATTAGACAGACATTTGGGAGGCAAATGGACAGAACTCAGCACGCATTTGGAGTTCAGCTGAAACAGGGGAAGATGTATATGGTTAAGACCAAGTTCCTGTGTTCGGTAACGAGCGCGACGGTGCCACCCACTGACACGGGGAATACCGCGGGAGGGCCGGGTCTGTGCAGGACTCCAAGGTAGCCGTTTATGTTTACGAACTCATGGTCAAAATGGAATACAATAACCAGTATTTAAGTACTTTCCTTCACAGTCCTTCGCCTTTGAAAAAAAAATGTGAGAGGTATGGAGATAATTTATATTTAACGTATACAGTTTCTAGAATGCGAGAACTGGATACAATATTACAAACCGCGACACTACGAGGACAGACGGTTTCCATCATTTGACACTGCTCCCTTGTGCCATTTCCCATCCGACCCCCCCTTCACTCTCACTCCCTGGCAACCACCGAACACCTCCGTGCCTGCGCTGGTGCCTTCTCCAGACTGCCCCTTACATGCCTTCCTGTGCTGTGTAGCCTGTGAGTCCGCCTCCTTTAACTCAGCATGCTGACGCGCACCCTTTCTGCCGCCCGCATCGGTGCTTCCCGTTGATTACTGTGCAGTAATCCTTCGTGCGGGTGTCTGCTTTTGTCATCCATACACCAGTTGTGGAATATTTGGGTTGTTTCTAGGTTCGGCTATTAGAGATAACAGTGCTGTGGATGTGTGAGTACAGGGTTTGTGAGGGCATTTCGTTTTCATTTCTGTTGCAAAGAATTCTCTAGGACTAGAACTGCTGTGTTGTGTGTTTAATATTAAAAGTAAGTGCCCGACAGCAACCTCTCAGACATTGTTGGTAGAAGTTTTTTGATCAGATATATCTCCCCAGGCGAGGGAAACAAAAGGAAAAAATAAACAAATGGGACCTCATCAAACTAAAAAGGTTTTGCACAACAAAGGAAATCGTCAACAAAATAAAAGACAACCCACAGAATGGGAGAACATATTTGTCCATACATCTGATAAGGGGTTAATATCCAAAATTTATAAAGAGCTTCCAAAACTCAACACCAGAAAAGCAAGTAAGTCAGTGAAAAAGTCAGCAAAGGACCTGAATAGACACTCCTCCAAACAGGACACACAGATGGCCAACAGACATCTGGAAAGATGTGCAACGTCACTAATCATCAGAGAGATGTAAATAAAAACCACAATGAGATACTATCTCACACCTGTCAGAATGGCCATCACCAATAAGTCAACAAACAACAAGTGCTGGGGAAGATGTGGAGAAAGGGGAACCCTTTTGCACTGTTGGTAGGAATGCAGACTGGTGCAGCCACTGTGGAAGGCAGGGGGAAGATACCTCAGAAAGTTAAGAATGGATCTCCCTTTTCACCCAGCAATCCCACTTCCAGGAATACGTCCAAAGGAACCCAAAACACTAATTCTAAAGAACATAAGCACCTCTATGTTCATTGCGGCACTATTTACATTCGCCAAGATATGGAAGCAGCCCAAGTGTCCATCAGTAGATGAGTTAATAAAGCAACTATGGGACATTTACACATCAAAAAGAAAGAAGAAGGAAATTTTACCCTTTGCAACAGTATGGCCGGACCTGGAGAACAGTAGGCTAAGTGAAATAAGCCAGTCAGGGAAAGACAAAGATCATATGATTTCATGCACACGTGGAATCTGACGAGCAAACTGAACTGACAAGCAAAACAGAGACAGGCTCATAGATGGAGAGCAGGGTGACAGCTAGTTGGGTGGGGAGGTTAGCGGGTGGAGGGATTGAACCAAAAATAAGGAGGACTCATGGACATGGGCAACAGTGTGGTGATTGCTGGGAGGAGGGAGGTATAAGGGGACTAAAGGGTAATGGAAAAATATATAATAAAGATTATTGTTTTGAAAATGCCTGATATTAGGATACCCACTGCAGCTTCTTGTGGTTGCTCCTTTTATGATACGCCTTTTCCCCTCCTTTCACTGGCAATGCGTGTGTGTGTCTACAGGACACGCAGTTGCATCTTGTTGTTGTTGTTTTTAAACACAGTCTATCAATGTCTGCCTTTGATTCGATTATTTAATCTATTCACATGTAACGTTCTTGTCGACATCGGTGGACTTACATTTGCCATCACACTTTTTTTCTGTGTTTCCTGTCTTTTTGTTCTTTGGCTCCTCCTTTTCTGCATTCTTTTGCCTTAAATGGGTGTTTTCTAATGTAGCGGCATCTTCATTCCTTTAATGACCTTCTCACCATGTGCTTTGGGATACGGTACTCCCCCTGGTCCATCAGGGATACAGTCCAGAACCTCTGGCGGATGCCTAAAACCCCAGGTGGTACCGAACCCTGTATGTACTGCGTTTTTTCTTATACATGCGTGCACTTTACGGCTTCTCTTTTGTGTGTGCGGATTGCCAGCACCACTACTCTTGTGCTTTGGGCCGTTCATAAGTAAAGTAATGGTTACGGGGACACAGCACTGCAACAACACCTCAACAACCGACCTCCTAACTGAGATGGTTACTAGGGGGCCAGCTAAGCTAAATTCTTACTTCCACTTCCTAGGAATTCTGATTTCTGTAGTCTTGAGCACACTTTTCACTACAAGAACAGCCAGTGAGGGTGAAGGAGAAAATTTCAGAGGGTGTGTCAGCATGGTGCAAATGTTTAGAATTGAGTTAAAAGTCTGCTTTGTGAAAGTACAGGAGTGATTAGGAGAAGAGCAGCTCTTAGTGATACATTGATTGTTCTTCAATCAATTACGCCAGGGAATACTCTGTAAAAAGTCAGCAGGGCATTAACGTGGCTGCCTGTGGCCCATCGCTTTGCATTCCGTGTCACGTACATGCAACAGTGGGTCTCCTTTCTAACGCCCCGAATGTGTGCCATCAGTCTCTGGAGCTCTTCGGATGCAGTATCCCGTGTAACAGGCAGGACAATCCTAGGAGGTAGGGTGCATTATTGTCCCCATTTTACAGCTAGGAAACAGAGGGGCAGAAACATTAGGATGAATAATGTTGGATTTTCTTTCTTGCTTATCACCATTTGTTGCAGTCTGCGTTCTTCTGGCTGCACACGTCCCTTGCTACCTTCTAGCTCTTTGAGGACCTTCCTCGCCCCCCTTTGTGTCCAGACCTGGGGCCGCCTGGAGCCTTGAGCACAGACGAGGCCTTCATGGCTCCACTGCAGAAATGCAGCTCAGCGTTGATTTCTGAACCTTCCCCGATGACCTCTGAAGAGACGTCCCAGGAAGTCACAGCAGAAGGGTGACCTCTCACCCTTCCTTCTCAGAACTGCTAATGATGAGCCTCAGTGACCCGAACCCCAGTCCTGGCGCCAACTACCCTGTCCCCGTCCCAGAGGGGCTGCTCCACCAGCGGTACACAGATGAGAAAACCCTGTGCCAGAGGCAGTGGGAAAGGCCCACATCCCCTCAGAGGAAGAGAACACTTCTCGGACAAGTTCAATGGAGACTCCTGGATCAGAATCTCTTCCTCTGGCGATAGAGATCAGAATAGATTTCGGTGTGACTGTGCATACTGCCAGAACTGGGGGTGGAAGGTTTGTGGCGTTCCTGTGCGGGGGGTGGGGGGGGGACCCCAAGTCCTTCCTCCCGGGAGAACCTTGCACACGCCTCAGTGGCTTGAGCCTCCACCTGGGTGCTGATCTGCCACCCTCTCTGCCGCATGGGGTGTTCCAACAGCAGCAGCAGGGAGAGGAGAAGCTCCAACTGGAGAGGCGGCAGGAAAGCAAGAGGCCGTTTTGGAAGCTCTGAAAACAGTGGTTCAAAGAAAGCTGACAGTCTTACCTCCCGTGATGGAGATCTGGACAGATGCAACACGGTGTTGCCGGGTCATGGGTGCGGATTCCTTTTGGGGGGGCCAAACGGTGAGCAGTAGCCTGAGGAGTGACTCGACTAGTTTATGACTGACAGTCCCATCAGCGTTGATCCGATCCCGGGAAGGTCCTGACCTCTCCTCCCTGGAGTTGCACCACTCTGGGGGCATTCTGAGGCCAGGGAGACTGCATACCAGTGGTCCCCGACTCCTGTATTCTGGCTCCCGTGATGCATGTTGTCACCTTCACACCCTCGATCTCTGTCTTTCCTCCCTACACTGTCCTCACTGAGGCGTACAGTGTGTCTGCAGTGTGAATGCCTCGCTGATGCCCACGTGCTTTTGAGCCGTTTTGTTGACTGCCTCCATGAAGGAGCCCTGTGCATGCTGAAATGCCTGTGTGCTAGCATGACGTCAGGTTCAACAAGCTAAGGCGACGGAAGTGTGGGAGGGGGGTGTGGCATTGGGATGTGGTGATTCAATTCACCCTTGTGTTCTTTGCGAAAGCCATTATGAATGTGAGCTAAATGCAGGTCAGCGTTTCCCTGCTCCTGAGCACCAGTAGCATTCCCCCTTGAAGGAGTTTCTGATAGAGTACCTCGTCCTCCTCCGTTTCAAACAAATAGACGTGTTAAAGGGAAGTGACTTCAGAACTCAGGTTTGTTTATCCACGTGGGCTTGTTCTTTGTCAGATGTCACATCCCTAGTTTAAATCCCAGAGCCGCAGATCCGAGTAGATCAGGAGGAGGAGATTTAGAATGGGGGGGGGGGGGCTGTCACTGTTGGCAGTCCTGCAGCAAGGACAGCGCTCTGATCATCTGCGCAGAGGTCATGGCAGAGAGTCCCGCTGTCCAGGGAGAGCGGGAAGCAGAGTCCGTGCCCAGAGGATGGTGCAGGTGCCCCTGTTGTAGCGCTCCAGGGGCCATTCCTTGCTGCTTGGTGTCCCCCGGGATGGGGACTATGAACAGCAGTTTGTTCGGTGCTGCTGCACGAGAACCAGAATATCACTCAGTTATTAAGAGTCGGGGTTTGGACATAATGCCTTTTCACTTGAAGAGGGATGAATGACTGCATCTACCTCCCCATGCCCACCAGAATCCGATGCTGTGTACCCAGGAGGTGACTGTGCAGTTCGTCTGAAGTGAAAATGAATTCTGCATTCTGGCCGTGTGTTTCTCGGTGGTCCCCAGAGCTGTATTGCCGCAAAAATGTATGCTGTCTACACATAGAATGGCTTGAGAATCTGAACGGGTGATCTCATCTGAGAGTCTGGGAGCTGCCCAGACCCTGCCAGGTCTGGCGCGCAGCCCCAGGGAGAAGGTCAGTAGAGCGGGGCTAGTCTCTCTTGAAACACAAAGGCCGAACTCAGCCCGGTCATGTGGGCTGTGTGGTGAGCAGGCCTCACGTGGCGTCTCTCTTTCATTGATCGTTTCCTGGGTGTCAGAGAACCTGCTACAGACATCCATATGTCAGCTGCTTTCATCCTTTGCCACAGACCCCTCATTGAGCAAGACTTCCATCCCGGTTCACGAGGTGGGACGGCAGAGTACAGAGAAGTTGGGGACCGTGCCCAGCTGGCAGAGGTCCGAAAGTGAGAGAGAGCCTCCCTCCAGCAGCCACACCAGGTGAGTCCTGCCTACCAGAATCACTGTGTACCACTCCTGAAGGTTTCCATGGTCTGCCCTCGCCTGCCCCCTGCAGGCTGGCCTGGCTGTTGGAGTGGTGGAAGAGGAGGAATTGCAGAGACTCCTGGCCCTGCACAATTGAGCCTTTAATCAAGGAGACAGATCTGACGCACGTAGATGTGGTCGAGAGTGCGTCATGGGGTCCCCTGTGCTGCACGGTGGCCAGGAGAGAGGACTGAGAAGGATGGGCAGGGGAGAGGGGTGATGTGGCATGCTGGGGGCGTGCTGAGGCCAGTGCTAACTGCTGACTTTGCTACATGAGGGAGCATGGAGAATGGGGGGGTGGGGGTAACCGAGGGAGTCAGAGGCCGCCCCTCTCCCCACTAAAGGCTTTGTCCCCAGACCCAGTGTGGGGTGTCCAGGAGATGTTGGGTCACATCACAGACTGCATGTGGTCCCAACTTACAGACTAGGAGCCAGAATCCACTGACATGCAGACACATGCAGCATGTCAAGTTCTAGAGCAGAGACTGAGCCAGAGGCACCACGAGCCAAGAAATAAGGGAGAGCCTGGGGTAAGATGTAACACATAATTCAGTTTATGGGAAAGGCCCCATGAAGATCAGTCTGAGCTCTGCTGACGAGACCAGTCCTGACCTCTCGTGCCTGATAGTGATGAGCCTGTGGTTCTGGCCTCTGCACAGGGAGGATATCCATCCAGTCCCAGATCCCCACAAGGGGACGCAGGTCCAGGGGAGCAGGCGGGTTGTTGCAAGTGCAAGAGACTCACAGATCTCAGGCCACCCAGAAATAACTGGAGCGTATGCTCTCTATGGAAGAGCAGGGTCCCATCCACAGAGATGCCTGCCATTGCTACCTGGCCACAGCCAGGCTCTGTACGAACTCAGGGTCTTTGTGGAGGAATCTCTTGTCTTTCCACAGCTCCTGAACCCAACTTGAGGGGCAGGGGTCAGAGAGAAAAGTACCACGCCTGAGACAGCAAAAAGTGAGCAAAGGGAAGCAGGTGCAGCACGGCTGTGTAAACGGAAGGACCCAGCCCTTCCTACAAATTGAGCCTAGGTTGAGACACGGGAGCCCTGGGGTCTGCTTTGGAACTAGTCCCTGGTTTCCATGAGAGGCACCCAAGGGGCCGCAGAGAACTTCTGTCACCTAAAGATGCACGGGGTGGAGGAGACGGTTCTCTGAGCTGCAAGAACCAAACGAGGCAATGGGGATGTAACTGCTGTCTCAGTCACAAGCTCCATGGACAGGAAGACTGTCACAACGGATACCGCTGCTGGCCTTTAACTGGTGATTTTCTGTTATTCAATGGTCTCTCCTCTGTGGAAAACACACTCAGGGGGCCGGGGGCACCCCAGCTGCCCAGAAGTGGAGGCCTGAGACCTGCGCATCACCGGGAGGGCTGGATCGCTGCTCTCTGTCTGGACAAAAGGCACCGCCTGTGCCCCGGGCCGGGCTGTGCCGTGGACAACGGCAGGATGCCCCCTGAAGAACAGATTCTCTGAGGACACACTGGCTGCTGGAGATGTAGACTGAGAGTCTGGGTGTGGCAGCGCCTACTGCACTTCTCACCCAGAACTCAGTCTAGGGAGGACACGGGTATGATTTTCCTCCAGAAGAGAGAAGAAGGGAAACACTGAGTTGTGCTCTTAACCATGTTGGCTTTCTGCTAACTCCCCAGGGAAGGGCAGGCCTGTGTCGTGAAAGGACAAGGAGCCTGGCATCGCCTAGGGAGGCGAGGACCGCTTTGAGGACGCCTGGAGCAGACCCTGCTCACCACAGTGACAACCCGCATGAGCTCCTCCTCTCTGTGAGTCTGTCTGCGCTTCTCCTGTTTCTGTGATGTGTTTTGGGAGTCTGGTTCGTTGTCCTGGGTTGAAGAGATGAGGAGGCAAGGACCCCAAGGTCTCTGAGGACCTCTGTGACAGGGACAGATTGGAAGGTGGGCACAGGAGGGGCCGGTGGGGATGGGGAGCTGCCCTCCCAGGTTCACGGGTGCTGCTCAGGCTGCAGCTGCACTGTGGCTCATTTTTCTGCCTGAACGAACTGGTGCTCATCAGAAGTGCCCGCCCCCTGCGCTGGCCTGTGAGGGGTGGGGGTAAAGGAACTCTGAGTTTGCTTCTGATCAGCTAGGTATGAGTACATGCAACCATGGCAGTGGTCCATGTGTCCAAATGCTCAGTGAGCTTCATGAAAATGCTCATGCTCAGATTTATGCCCCGCCTCCCCACTTCCTTCCACACTGGGGAAGGGGGTGTGTGTGGCTAATGAGTGTGTGATGATAGAGGAAGGGGATCTCTGGCACACCCCTGTGGCTCACAGTGCCCCAGGCGGTCTCTGTGGACATGAGGACCCTTGGCTCCCAGATCTAACTGGTGAAGCTCACCCGGGGGTGCGCAGGCGAAACTTGCATTTCTGACACTCACCTCTTGGTCGGGAACGGGTGCTCCCTGGCTGACCTGGTCTCATGTACCTGTGCTGACCCCTCTGAACCTGGGTGTCATCCTCCCTCCCATGCCGGGGCAGGGCTGCCCCCTGCACAGCCTGGGCTGCAGCGTCCTTGGCCCCTTGCCTGCTCAGTCCTCCATCATGAGCCCCCGCCTCTGGCCAGTGACTTTCTACATCGTCCCTTCAAGGAGTGTGGTCCCAGGGGTCTCACCTACATCATGGCAGGAACCACGGCTGCCGCCAGAAGGCCGTGTTCCTAAACTCCACCATCCCTCTGCCCAAGAGTCTGCTGGCTCCTTGAGCAGAGTGTCCTCCTAGGTGTCCCGTGTGAGAATGGGATGGACCCTCCTTGATGTGGAGCTGCTCTTCACTTCCGCACTCACCTCCCTTCCCTGAGATGTCCGACCTCTGCCAGCCTCTGCTTCTGAAGGTCCTTCCCCCGGGACTGGGACAGACACTCTTTTCTGTGCCGTGTCTTTCGTGTGGACTCCTGGTCCCATAGTCTGCCCAGGTCAATGGGGCCTACTGTAGGAAGTTGCCGTGCTGAAAGAAGGGACAATATGGTGTCACAAGACCCTTCCTGCTTTCCAGAAGGGAGGAAGAACAGAGGGCTAGACAATGGAGTGGGAAACAGAGCCAGAGCTGCCATAGCAGTTGCCCAGGATGAGCCTAGGAAAGGGATGGTGCCATCAGGCGATAGGGATTTGTTGTTGGTGGCCTCCAGTAGGCCAGTGCAAGGGCATGCTGGGCACAAAGCCCTACTGAAGGGGACTGAGGAGCAAATGCTATGCAGAGAGGTTGGAGAAATTTCGAACTGAAACCCATGCATTCATGTGCCAGTAGCTGCAGACTCCCATGTGGGATGGGGGTCCAATCCGCAGAGATACCTGCCATTGCTACCAAGATACCAAGGAGGGAGGGACCCAGTTTTCTGTAGGGACCCCAAAGAATGGAGCAGTTCAACCACAGTAAGGCACCGCCCGATAGCTCCCCTGCCCAGACAGTGGACGCAGTACCCAGAAGAGGCTCCAAGCACTTTTTTTCCAGCACAAAGGGCGGGGGAGAGAAAAGAGTTCGTGGCTCCACACTGCCACCTGCCGACCACAGAAACTCAGCGCCGGCATTCTTCCCCTTAAGCCCCGTTTTCTCACCGAATTTCAAAAGTAAAACCAACATAAAAAATACCAGAGATCAATTCTCCACACACCACCGCCACTGACAGCTGTGGTCAGAAGATGCAGGGAAGGGCCCCAGGAACCCCTACCCCCCAACACCAGCTCCACCGCTCCCTTAGTCCCGCCCTCAGAACCAAAGCAATCTTAGCGGAAGTCCCTGGTCCCAGAGCCCGCCCCAGAGGACTGAGGCTGCCCTGCCGGTGGTTTGCTCTGGGCCCTGGGGAGGAGGAAAAGTGAGAGCCCAGCCAGAGTCCCGGCGGGCATCACTTTCCAGTCTTCTCAGGGACCCTGTTTCGAACTGTTAGCTGCTGGGCAGGGCCTGTGCTGTCAAGGTCCTTTTCCCCAAATGCCCCATGTGCCCCCGGTGTGGGGCCTGTTCCAGGTCCCTAGTCACCCTGTGCCCGCCCTAGCCTCTGAATACCCTGGGCCCTTGGCACAACCACCTACCCCCTGTCAGCCTCCATCCTGGGGAAACCTCCTGGTGACATCAGGACCCACGAGCCGGCTCTGGCCTTCACAGAGCCTCTCTGACCTCACATTGTTTCTCCTCCTGGTGACCTGAGCTTCAGTCACCCTGCCAGTGGTCATGCCTTCAATGTCAGGAAACCACCAGCCCCCCCCTTGATGTCCTTTCCAGCATTCCTCTCTGCCAACACCTCAACACTGTGCCCTGTAAACCAACCCCCCCCTTCCAATCTTCCAATCCCTCTGCTTAAACAGCTTTCAACCTCTTGGGGGCCCCCCTCCCCTGTGGACCCTGTGGCCTCACCAATCATCCACCAGGCCTCTCCATAGGCAGCCTACCCAGGGCTATAAACCCCTACCCTATCCCCCCCACCCACCTCTCCTGGTCCTTCCTCCCCTCTGCTCCACACTGTCCTGCTGAGCTCCAGTAAGGGACACGGCCCTGCCTGTGTGTGAGCACCTCAGCCTTGACAACAAAAAACGTCTAAACTTACTGAATATTTTCTCTTAAATCCATGGCAGAGGAGCATCACCTTTTACTTTCCCCCCTCACCCTACCTACACCACGAACTTCCTCACTAGCGGCCCTCGTCCACTGCACTGGAGAAGACAGGCGCAGTGAGGTGTGTGACCTGTTGGAGGTCCCCACATCCAGTCTACCTGGTTTTGACCAGACATCTCTGCTGGCCCTGGGAATGCCTGCTCCTCACTGCAGGCAGCCCTCACCTGTGCTGGGCACAAAGCCCTACTCAAGTGGACTGAGGAGCAGATGGTTTGTGGACAAGGTGAAGCAATTTTGCTTTGCAGACCATCCATTCATGTGCCAGTAGCTGCAGACTCCCATGTGGGAAGGGGGTTGGGTGTCCCCCCATTTGGTGTGGGACAGTCCCGTGTTGCAAAGAGCAGGAGATATTTCAGGAGAGGACTGCTAAGTGCAGGAGCACAGTCCCTGAGCAGGTGGAAGGAGAGGGATGCTGAGCACAGGTGAGGGCTGGCTGCAGACACCAGGGGGGCACGCCCAGGGCCAGCAGGGGAATGTCAGAGGAGAAACAGGTCCATTGGGTTTGGGAAGCCCGGGGAGCCCCTACCTCAGTGCTTCTGTGTTCCGCAAGTGTTCCTAGGAAAGCTCATTGGATTGCCAGAGGGTAGCTCGTGAGGAAGGCAATGGTGTTGGTAGGAGGAAGGTGAAAGTGAGAATCAATGCTCTTCTAGTTAGGGATTTAAAGAAACTAAGGAAGGCTGAAATGGTCGTCATGAGTGCTCCAGCCAGGGGCCTGTCCTCTGCTGGGGCCCAACAAGAGAACATGGAGCAAGCGGGTAGACAGGAGCAAGACAGGTGTGTTACAGGGGAGCTGATGGCCTGGGAGAGGCTGGGGAAGGAGGGGCCGTGTGGGTGGTGAGCAGGCTGTGGGGTCCACACCAGGGACCCCCTGGGCTTGAAGGCTGTCTAAGGGGAGGCCTGAGAGCAGGGGCGTCAAACTCATGTTCACCAGGGGCCGCATCAGCCTCGTGGTTACCTCCAAGCGCCGAATGTAATTTCCAGTCCTTAACAGTTAAGGAGCAGTGACATGTATACAGCCCTAAAACTATTCTGGCCCTTTGAAGGCAACCGCAAGGGCTAATGTGGCCCCCCTCGTGAAAATGAGTGTGACACCCCTACCTTAGAGGAAGGGTGTTGGAAGAGGTGGCCATGGTTTGTAGGTGATGATAGATGAGGATGCTGGAAACCGCTATCGTGCAGGGGCACCGTGTCCCTGAGGCTGGGGCATGAGCTGGGCATGGGGTCGCTGGGTGGAGAAGAAGGGAAGAATGTGCCTGAGGAGGTAGAGGCTCCTGTGGACAGGGCCAGGCTCATGGGCCCTGAGGTCACAGGAATGGTTCCAAAGAGTGAGGACCCCAGGAGAAAATGACAGCGGAGTTTGTTCAAGCCCTGTGGGGGGCCGGGAGGCTTGTGTGGGGCTGGGGGGGGGGTGGGGGGGGGGTGGCGGGGGGCGGATAAGGGAGAAGGGCGTGCCATAGGTACTGGTGGGGGGGGCAATGAAGAAGTGGGTCCACAGCACCAGGGCTCCAAGTGTTTGACTCCCTTAGCTGATAGTTTGTAGTTGCATCTAGCACTAAACCTACAGACAGTGAGGCTCCCGGGGAGACTGGCGGGGAGACTGGCAGAGACTTCCCTGGTCTCCAGCACGCGCGCGCCCAGAACTCGCCAATCACAGGGAGGGTACCACCCACTTGTGGGAGGCAACTTTCAAAGGAGCCTGGATTTCCGGCTCCTGTTGCAGGTTCCCGGGATTCACGGGGGAAATGGACTTGATGGGGTGTTTTGGGCAGGTTCTTCTCCATTCGCTGATACCCGCCATCACTGCCCTTGAGTGCAGCAGCCACTGGGGTCTGTGACTCTCTGTGCAGCCTCAGAAGAAAGGATACCACTTCCTTTCTGTTCAGGGCCTCGTGTTTCTCTGGACAGCAGGGGGCAGTGGTGCATCGTACATGGGCTGGACTGGCTCTCCCCCGCCCTTCCCGCTGGAAAAAAACTGCCCTGATTCTTTTACTTAATTGGTAGTTGGGCTGTGGGACTGTGCTGGGTGGGTAGCCACCGTGGCTCACGTTTTTTCACTAGGTTCTCGGTGAAAATTGGATTCTACGCGCAGAAAGACTTTGCTTTTCAAGTTGCCTTTTCTTCTAGGTTACCGCCTAGGTCAGCTTAGCAACAGGTATTTCAGCTTCCCTACATTGTGTCCACAGTGTCTTTCCCCAGCTCATTTGGTGTTTGATGGTCCATTATGACTATGTAGTTGGGTTATGGCAGTCATTCAGGCCTCATTATAGAAAATGGAGGGACAGAACATAGAGCGTTTCAAAGCACAGGCCCATTGTTGCAGGACAGGGGCCGGGCCCTTACTAGGTCTGCCTAACTTAGCAGGCTCCAGTTTGTGAGTTCTTGACTCCCTGGGGAAATGATCCACAACGCCAATCCAGGTGACTATGTGGATACATTTATTGCATGTGGGGACAGGGAAACAAGGAAGGGCTTCACCCTGAACAGCGGTGTCAAACTCATTTTCACAGGGGGGCCCCCATCAGTCTTGCAGTTGCCTTGAAAGGGTTGAATGTAATTTCAACTCCTTAACAGTTAAGGAGTAGTTTCATGTATACAGTCCTAAATTATTTCAGCAGTTTGAAGGCAACCATGAGGCCGATTTGGCCCCTGGTGAAAATGAGTTTGACACCCATGACCTAGAAGAAGCAACAGGAGAACCTAGGCTGAGCTGCCTTAGCTCACTGGCAAATCAGTGAGAAGGGGGGATTTGGGGGACAGGTTCAGGGCATTAGCCTGGGACAAGCTGCCTGCTGCCCATTGCCTTGGAGTTTAGGGGACCCAGGCCTGTGCAGAAAGATGAGGGGTGGAGGTCTGGGGGGGGGGTGTAGAAAGGAAGGAAAGTGGCTCAGGCTGCTCCCCACAGGGAGAGCCCACCCATTGGATCCTTTGTCTTCAGGCTGTTACCTCTGTCTCCAGGCAGCAATCTTAGGGGAGGACTCAGTAGAGTCTGCACCAGGTTTCCAGCTGTGCCCTTATAGGGTGGAGGTCAGTGGAGACCACCTCCACTGATTGGTCGGTGACAGGGAGGCAGTGCGGGGGGGGTTAGTTATTGCAGTGGGTTCTGGCATCACTAGCTGGTGTGGCCCCTTTTCTAGGCCTGGAATAGAACCCAGGCCTAAATCTTATCTCCAGGGAGGGAGGTTACCCTGGGGGACCAGGTCCTTCCTTTCTGAGTTGTGGCCCTTTAGGGCGCTGGGTCCTTTGGCACTGGTAACCTCCTGAACCTGGCAGTAAATGGCTTGTCCTCCCTATCCTGTCCCACCATGGTCCAAAACTGACCTCGAAGACCACTGTGGGAGTCTTTCCCATAGGTCCTTGCCCTGCACAGGACCTCAGTTCTCCAGCATATCCTAAAGTGATTTGTCCAGTGGTTAAAAGCCACAGTCACCCTGGCCTGCTACCTTGGATGACTAATTGGGCCATGCACTGAGGGGCAGGGCCTGTAAAGAATAATACACTGAACACATAGGAAGGGGCCCAGTGACAGCCACCTGAGGGTGAGCTATGTGCTTGAACCAGCCCCATCCGACTGCAATGGTCTTTCTCTCCCCAAGTCCAACTAATGGTGCTGGTGCCGCTTTGACAGACCTCACATAACTGCAAACATGTCCCACATTTCTTACCCAAAAGTTTCTTCAAAATAATAGTGTACACAGGTAATCTGCACTCACTTACACCTACAACTTCTTTACCTTTAAAGGCGTCCTTAGATTGGACTAGAAAATCTCGCCCGGCCCCCCCCGCCCCCTTTTCTCCCTGTAGGCCTCCTAGAGGGCCTGG